TTATTGTTATGCAAGCATGAGCACACTAATTGGCTAAGGAAAGCCAACACTCAAAAGAACAGAGAAAAACGAATGCAATACAGCAGGAAGCAGGAAACCTTCTGTCCTTCCTCCTTGACAATCACATGAAAAGGTGGTTTGGCTGAATCCCATCTACTTGAGTCACCAGAAAAATAAAATTAATAACAAACATATGGCACAGCCATTCATTAGTTACATAAGGACTACTAAGCTCGCTAGGTGGTGAGCAGCTCCAAGAAATCTGCTGGAACAGGAGGTGAGGAGCATGAGCAGCCAGCTCTGGGGAAAACCCAAGTTTTTTCCATGGGACAGGAGGGCAGAACAAAGAGCCATCAGGATAAGATGCACCTGAATGCCAGCAAACGCCTGACAGGAGCTGAGGACTTGGAGCTCAGAGATGGGCCCAGCTGCCTCATCTCCTGAGCAGGACACAAAGCCAGCAGCTTCCCTGTCTCCAAGTCTCTAATCTGTCAGCAGCAAAACCCAGGCAACCTATCCCCTTGGCCACTACTGTCAGGGATTTTCCTTGCCAAATCCTGCCAGAAATGGCAGGGCCATTGGGACTGCTCATGGATTCCTTGGACCACCAACCACTCTTTCCTTCCAGAAGTATCTGGTCTTCTGAAAAGGGAAGAAAAAGCTGATTACAGAGGTTAATGCTTGTCCCAGATTGAGAAGCAAGATGTATTCTATTGCCATCTGTGTAGCAGTTGTCTTCTGTTAAGTGAGCAGTTTTCCTTATCTCTTTCACAAGCAATCCTCTCTCAGGGGAGACGTCTGCTGGTAATGGGCTATTGAATGTCACTGCGTGATTGATAAAAAATTATAGCATTCCATTGTGAGATGCTCCGCCCAGAGGGAGGAGCCAAGCAATCCTAACTGGATATAATGTGAGTTTTGGGGACATCAGAGTCAGCCTTCCCACAGGTTTCCAAGAGGAACTGCTGGGGTTTTCCACTGGACCTTCAGAGGAAGACTACACCCTTCTACAGGATCACTGCTCCGACAGAACCACATCTGCCTCTCCAGGAGGATTGCAGCTACTCCAATTTTGACAACTACCAACATGCTGGCCAAAGGAGTGTCAGGTTGTATTCTGACTCTGTCAGTGGTTTTTCTTTTGTATTATTGCATGCATTTTGTTTCTTAATAAATTGTATTTCTGACTCAGAGTCTCTCACTGGTTTTCCTTTCAAACCAGAACAATGCACAACAAGCCTTAGTCACAGGTTTGCCCTTTTGATAAGGGTGCCCAGACTTGAGAGCAGACAAGCCCAGTCAGGTGCAGAGCCCTGCAAGGAACCAGGACTCCCAGTCTTGCATGGCAGTCAAGCCTCCGTCTCTTCTTTGTGTATTTAAAGTGGAAAGGATATGAATCAGAGCTGAGAGTCTTCAAAGAATGGTCCACATGCTTGAAAGCAGAGAAATCCAGGCTCCAGCCTTTTCCCACCCAGGCTCTCCAGCTGCTTTTCCCACATGCTCCCTGCATTCTCTGCTGAGGCCAGGCTACTTCACTTTACAGAAAACAAGATTGGAAAAGTTAGTGGGCTACTAATTACCTACCTGCTGTTTAATTATCTTTCTTGGGGTTTTTAGTTTGTTTGAAAGCGTTTACATTAGAGTATTTTGCTTAGGGAGTGTCTTGGCTTGTAAGATAAGCATGTATTCTATTGCTATCTGTTGGAGGTTGGGCAGTTTTTTTATTTCTTCTAAGAACAATGTCTCTTTCCGGGGAGATATCTTCTGTTAATAGACTATTGAATGACTCCCTGCATGACAGGTAAAATTACATCATCCCATTGTGAGATGCTCCATCCAGAGGGGAGGAGCCAAGCATTCTTACCTGCATAAAATCAGCACTTTTTGAGACACTGGCAGTCACTTTGCTGGATTCCCAGAGAAGCAGCTCTCTTCTCTGCTGAATTCCCAGAGGAAGACCAGGCCCAACTACTCCATCACCAAACCTTCAGAGAAAACTACACCACTTCAGCAGCATTTCACCTGCCACTCCAGGAGAAGCAGCCACCATTTTAACTGGACTACTACCAACACCCTGACTCCTCAGGGTGTCAGGTTTCTGACTCCATCACTAGTTTCGTTTGTACTAATTACATTTTTTAAAATTTTTTTTTATTTAGTTTTTCTCCTAGTAAAGAACTGTTATTCCCATTCCCATATCTTTACCTAAGAGCCTTTTTTAAAACTGTAGCAATTCAGAAAGAGGGGGTTTACTTTTTCCATTTCACAAGAGGCTTTTGCCTTCCTTCACAGATTCCTGTCTTTTCAAACCAAGACAGGAGGGCTAGATGAGCATACACAGCCAGGTGTAAGTTTAAGCACCAAGATCTAGGACCCACCTTTGAAACTGCAGCTGCTTTACAGATGTGTTTTTGAAGAGAAAAGCAGCATTGAGAGAAAAACATCATCAGTAGAGGGCTTGTGAGACTATCACAATCTATGCTTTGATAATCAAAAAGGAAATGAGTAACAAAGACAAACAGATAAAATCACAGATGAGAATAACAGAATTAGCACAAGTCTCCAGAGGTGAAATTGGGATGCAATCAGTCAGCGCCGAGAGGGTTCAAAGCATCAAAATGGTACAAGTGATGAAACCCAGCTCTAGAAATGAGACAGGAAAGTCTGAACAAGGAAGTAAATCAAGCAGAGTGTGGGCAGAAAGAAAAGCTAGCTCCATGATCCCAGAAGACTCTAGGTATTTTCCCAAGTTGTCTCTGAACCCCTAACAAGTAGCCCTCCAAAATCCAGGCAAGAAGAGTGGTACCAGGTGATGAAAGAAAGACCAAAAATGCACCTGCTTTCAGAGGGGAAGGAAAGTTCCCCGCACTATGGAAATTTGTGAAGAACAACCTGACAATGACAAATGTGGCTGGAATGGAGAGTAACACGAAGACAAGCAAATTTGTGGTGGGCTGTATGCAGGAGATAGTGGTGAAGAGGTGCGGCAAGAAGCTTAGGGAGACAATAAGATTTAGAAGACATAATGTGAAAAAAAGAAAATATTTAGAAGACATAATGTGAAAGAAGCATGTTTATTTTTTATAGTGGAAAATAAAGACCAGGCCCTTGAAAATCAGTCTGCAAGATTAAAATACTGCTAGAACAATGACAGGGATCAACCAGTGTTGCCCAAGCCAAGATGCACTTCCGGCACTCAGGGAAGCAGGTCAGCTGTTATGCTTAGGAAAGACAAGCATCGTACAACAAGACAAGTCAGAGATCGTACAACATGCCAGTGGAAAAGACGAGTCCCATCTTTCTGATGGTACCTTCAGCCCTGGAAGCCAATTTAATCCCTGGAAAGGTCAGAACTCCCTTTCCCTGCACCCAAAGGCATGCCTACATATGTGCCCAAAACCAACAAGAGTTTTCTGGGAGTTGGGTGAGGTTGTGAAATCCACTTCGCTTGCAGCTTAGAACAAGGTCACATGTCACCCACAGAGGCAGCCTGCAGGCAATTCATTCTGACAGCACAAAGAACAGAGTTAAGATCTCCCCAAAACCTGACTTCTGCTTGGCAGTAGAGCCCAGCCTGTGATGCTGCTGAACTGAGACAACTCTTTTGAGGTTGCTCTGGAATGGTCTTTTTTAATGCTTGCACAAATACTTTTGAGGATCCCCATTCATTCACATTGACCAGTTCCTGAACTGTCTGGCAGTTGCAGAGGTGGGTTGTTGGCTCCATCTGGTTAATGAGGCAGGACTAGAAGCATCCTTAGTCTCCCCAGTGTCCCTTCTTCTGGTTGTCCCCCATCCTGTTGTACAGCTGGTGCAGTGGACTGCTGGGGCTTGGGAGCCCACCAAGAGAAGGATGCCCCAGCAGCCAAACAAAACCTTCCACTCTGATGATCCTCGAGGTCTTTTTCTCACCTGTATGATTCTACTATTCTCTCTTGTCTCCAGAGGATGGCTATAACCACCCTAAGCCCAGTAGACAGCAAGCTGCAGAAAAAAAAACCTTGACAACAGACACTGGAACACCAAAACACAGGGAAAACAGGGATCAGCTCCTGTGCCCTAATGCCATCTTCCTGGCAAGAGAAAGCCTGAGAAAGAGAGGGATGAGCCAGGGGTGCTTAGGCAGACCCAGGTCTAATGCCATGCTGCCAGTTCATCCTAGTTCCTGCAGCAGCATCCCTCACAGAAGGCATCTGCCTCCCCCAGGCCCTCTTGGTAGTTTATCGAACACATAAAGGATCAAGTACTTCTGGGGATAAAAAAAAAGTCACATTTTGAGAAGGAAGCTTGTTCAGACCAGCTGCAGGCACTGCCCTAATTTCAGCACAGGAATTTCGGGCTGCCCTTGGCCTGACACAGGCCGCTGGAGCAAAGAGGACACGGGAAGCAGAGGGGAACAAGAAACAAGAGCACCTAGCAGAGGCGCCCCAAGCTCTGGGGCGCAGACCCCCTTTATCGGGGGTCGCTCCCCTATTCCCCCCCAACCCAGCGCCTGGCATGCTCCCATAGGGGCGCATCCCATAGGGGATGGCACGTGCGGGATGCTGCGCTGGGGGAGAGTCCCGCTCTCCACGTGGTCCTGGGGACATGGCGGGCGTGGGCAGGGCGATGCGCCTGGCATCGCAGTGCCTCTCCCAAGCGCTGCGGAAACCCGCGCCGCTCTCCCACGCGTGCCGAGCCCCGCGGCTCCCGGCGGGGCGGGGCGGCCGCGGAGCCGTGACGTGCGCGGAGCAGAGGGCGCCCCTCACGGCCGTCACCGGCGGGAACCCGCCTCCGGGCCAGACCACTCTGCGGCGGGTAGGGGAGGCGGGAGCGGCCACGGGGCGCGTTCTTCCCACCGCAGCGTCCTCCGCCAGCGGCGGCGGCAGCCGCGGGACGGGTCACGGAAAACCGGCTCGCCGGTCTTCGCGGGCGGGCTCGGTGTGCGGGTGGCGGTGCCGGGAGGGTTTGTTGGTACCTCGTCACTCCCCCTCTGGAGCGAGGGTGGTAGTGCCCGATGTATGCGCCGCGCGAGGCGCCGCCGCCTCTATAAGCGTGTCCGCGGGGCGGGCACGGGACCCGCTGCGCCACTGATCCCGCCCGGTGCTGCCCGATCCCTGCCGGTCCCGCTCCGTCCCGCCGGGAGCATGTACCAGAGCTCCGCGCGCTGCCTCTGCTCGGCCCTTCCCGCCCTCTGCTGCGCTCCCGCCGCCGCCTCGGCCTCCCGCCTGCCGCGGCCCCGCTCCCACCCGCCGCCCCCCGGCCCCGCCGCCCCGCGGGCATCAGCGGGCGGCCCGCCCGCCCCGGGGACGCCGCCCCGCACAGGTGGGTGCTGCCCGAGGAGGGCGCGTAGGGAACCGCGCGGGGTCACAGCCGGGCGGCTGCTGTCAGAGCGGGATCTGCGCTGTCCTGCCCATGTCAGCGTGTTCCTGGTCACTCGCCAGCCACCTCTCCGGGCTGGACCGGCCCTTGGGCTCTAAAGCCCCGGAGTGAGCGGGCGGCATCCCGCAGCATCGCGGCGGGCGCTGCCGGACAGCCCTCTGGAGCTTCGGGCGCTTCTGGCTCCGTGTGAGGGATAGGGCACCCTCTGCGCCCACAGGTAGGCTG